TTAGGCCTCGGCTTTTTTTTCGAGGCGGGCCATTTAGGAGGTCCGCCTCCGAAAATGAAGGCATTTTTAGAGGCGGGTCTCTTATAAAGCCCGCCTCCGTTAATAGATTCTAGGAGGCGGTTATTTTTAATCGTCTCCATAAATTGATTTTGTGAGACGAGTAATTGTGATCGCCTCGGTTATAACGAAAATGACCGTGTCCATTAATCCCAGGCATTAACCGAGGCGGTTGGATTTTGTAAATGCCTCGGTTAATAAAAGGGCACCGCCTCGCAAAATCATTTGGGTAGTAGTGATAGAGACAAGGAAAGATCGTTGTTATCCATTAGTCTATTAACTTTTGAAGCTAATGTTGGTATTGCCGGTTGCTAGCTACTGCAACGTAGAGAGATGCTTTTCGAGCATGAAGATTATAAAAACATCTCTTAGTTATCACATCGATTATGTGCACTTGAGTAATACACTTATTTGCTATTTGAAGAAAAAAATAATTAATGAAGGTTACAAGATAATGTCGTGCTATGAAGTAAGTCCATATGGCCGCACCCTCTCCATATTTCTCTAGCTCCGCCCCTGACCAGGACTCACCCAAAAGCCAAGGTTTTAGGAAGGGGAGGGGGAGATGCCCAACGGAGTTCGGAGCTCCTCTAACGGTGTCACCAGCGAGGAGCCAGCGGTGATCTCTAGCAGCTTTTCTGCCGGCCTGTTCCACTTCTGCTCCTCTTGATGTCTGCGCCGTGTCTGTTGCCACCCAATCGGTGATTGTGCGCGGCAAAAAAACGCATATGCTTTGGGAAATACTTGGGTACTCCCTTTCTAAAATCAGCAATGATCCTAAAAGCAGCCAATTAATTCAAAACAATTATTATATTTAATTCTCAGCCCACACCCGTGCAGCCCAGCCTAGCCCCATTTCAGCCCACCTCGTCGACCCATTGCAACATGCACGGCGGCACAACGTCAGCGAGAATCCAGTTTGGAGATGCTCCAGGTGCTTTTCCAATGTTCGGTGTCCCGACACACTTGGTGTTCGTGGCCCAGAGGAAACTGGAGCCGCCGCTGTGGTCTTGGTGCCGCCGATGGTTCGCCAAGCCCACGAATGAGTCCCTGGCTTGTCGTCGTTTTCTTCCAACGTGGAGTAAACAGAGGAATTCCGTAAACAAATGGCCGTTCCTCACGCCACTAAAGATGGCAACGGGACCGATCTCTGATTCCCTGTGGGGAATTCTTCCATTAGGGAACAGGGATGAAGGAGAATTAATTCCCATAGAGATAGAATTGGTAGGATTGTTGTCCCCGTCGGGGATGGCGGGGACAGGGATGGTTCCCTGGTCCCCGACCCCGATCCCCACATCCCCGCCCCGTGAACACAAGGCCCATGTATGAAGGCCCATTAGCCCCGAAGTATATATACGCGCTAACCCTAACTCACTCCCACCCGGCCACTCCACGCCTCCACCCCTATGCATCCAGCCCCAGCCCCCAGTGGCGACGCGACCGTGCGAGCATGACTGCGCACGGCCGCCTGCAGCTGCAGGCCTGCAGCTCGGTGCCTCGGTGGATCCACCCTCCGGCCTCCATCCAGGTCTCCAGACGTCGACGTTCCACCCTCCAGCCTCCATCGTCCATCTCCGTTGGCCTAGGAGATTCTGCCGTTCGCGTGCGGCCGTCGCAGGTCGGCCTCGTCGGAGCCTTGGATCCTCGCCGCCGCATCTCGCAGGTGACATGGATACACCTGGATCTGAATCGCCCATGAGCTTCGATGGAGAAGGAAGGTCAGAAACTCAATGTACATTCGTAGTTTTGTTCGTACATGTATTGCTATTGCTATTTCAGGTTCCGTGATACATGTATTGCTAGTTTTGTTCATACGTGATACATGTACATTCGTCACCGCAGTATTGCTAGTTTAGTTCATTGTTTACTTTTGTTCGTGGCTGTGTTTTTGAATATTGACTAACCCACGTCCGATGGTCCTCAAAGGGACGCCACCTCAGTCTTGGACTGGCCACCAAACGCCATGAGCGCTGGCGGTGTTGCTCCTGCTACTGCAGCCGCACCCGCTAATGCATCCGCTATCATGCCGTGCGTTGCGCTTGTGCCGGCATCTGGTGCTGCAAACCGAAAGGCACTCTGCCAGGCCCCAACGCCAAGGCCGAAAAGGACGTTCACTAAAAGTCGTCTTGCTGTTGAAGGAGCTCTACGTGCTCCGCCTATTCCATAAGCTTCATCCTCCGGCAGGGGTCTCCAACTGTTGAAATCACTAGGGTTCGGTTTCAAGCATGCTACTCCTTTTATGTTTTTTATTTCATATTTTCCAATTGTGAACATGTACTGTTTTTATTTATATTACAAGTTGCTCTCTGTTGATTTATATATGTACTGATTTAAATATGTACGCAGTCCACTAACAGTCATTGTTTACAGATTTTATATATGTACTGACTTATATATGTACAGATTTATATATGTACTAATTACTGATATGCCAAGAAACACAAGCTCAACCTGAGTCTGTCAATGATTCTCAACCTGAAGATACTCAGCCTGTTCGTTTGTTGGTTTCAGCCAAGACTTATCAGCCAGCCAACATTGTTTTTCTCTCACAATAAATCAGCACCAGCCAAACTTATCAGCTCAGAAGCAGGCTGACTGACTTTGACAAAAAAAAAAGGAAATTGACTTCAGCTGTCTGGAAGGATTTCAAAGTCAAGGTCCTAGGTGGTGTGAGGGCTCGATGCCTTCGCTGCCACCGCGCGTAACAACACTGAGAAAGCTGGGCTGCGGTGGGTCCATCTCAATCCTGGGATGGGCCAGAAGCCCAGAACTTAAAAATAAATTTAGTTAATTATTCTGCTGCTCCGAGATTTGTACTAATTTTTAGGAAAGGGGTACTGGCGCAGTTATTATCCTAAGATTTACTACCTGGCAGGCGCGCGGGTCCTTTATACGACACGCAGCTGGGCCACCATGCATCCTCAGCGCCGTTGCGCTACGCCCATGGGTATTTCCAGGAATACCCAACATTTTTGCAACAACATTAAGTATATATATATGTATAATGAATATTAGACTTGTTCTCTGTTTTTTCAACTAAAAATACAGCCATGAAGCCACTAGATTCGGCCTCCCTTCTCCTGACCCAGGATGGCCCACTTAGGCCACACGCCCGCGCACCCGTTTAGCCTGCTCACAACCCCGACCACCTCCAATTCCCCGTTCGGCGGCAATTCCCTAATCAGCCAAGGCCAACCCACATCCGTCCCAAGGGCGACGGCAGGCCGACGGTAGCCAGGACAAGCCGATTTCCTGATTTGGTGATTCACTGATTCAGTTGAGGTTGAGGATTCGGTGATTCACATGATCAAGTTTTTTTTTTTTTTTGCGAACCTAGAAGTGATCTTCGTTACTCAGAACTTGATGCCAAATCATTGGCTACAAGCACGCTAATACAGCCTGGAATACTATCCTTGATCAGATTAGTGCCCGGACACAAGTTGATTTTTGATTCACTGATTTCTGATGTACAGTCTCAAAATACAACTTGGTCGGATATGATTTTATTAAGCGGGAGTTCTGAGGGACATCATTAGCGGCTTCCAAGCCATAAAGGATGGCAAAGTTAAACCAATCGAAGCTCTCTTCAAGTATTTTATAAGTTTCCTATGGACTATATTTTAAATTTTGGATTGGACCTATTTTTACTTTAGGAGGTTGGAATGCCCAAGTTGAAAATCCTGTCAAACAACCAACAAAGACACCGGGCACCATGGCCAAGATCTCCAGCTTTTTGAAAAAAGGAACCCCAGAAATTCTATATTATTTTCACTACATTATTTTAGCCATGCGGCTTGTTCGCTGGTTGGTTTCCTGATGATAAAGCCCAACTAGTACTGGTTTATTGTGAGAGCAAAACGCTGTTGGCTGATAAGTTCTGTCTGAAACCAACAAACGAACATGCTGATGCCATATTTGCATACAACCCACCACAAAGTTGGCCCACCTGATGCGTGCCATTCCCGAAGCTTCTAGACGCTAAATATAGACCACTCCTATAAGTTGGTTTCTTTTTCACCTAAAATTTTTTGACAACCAAAAAATCTATTTCTTTTAGCTTCTTTCTTTTGGACACTCGGCATTTGACATCATCTTATCGCTAAAGCCACTCTGTGGAGTTCACGGTGCTTCTCATATTTTCTCTCTTTTCTTTATTATATCTAGATGTTATTAGATTATTACGCACTTCATCCATCTAATGATGATATGTATTGCGTGTCATATATATTAGTATATTTTTATATATGTTTGACTGAACTTAAAAAAGTTTGACTCTTAAAAAAGCGAGATGTTCATAAATATTAGTATATTTTTATATGTATTTGACTAGAATTAAAAAGTTTGACTTTTGAAAAACGAGATATGCAGTTACTTTGGAACCAAACGAGTAACTTATCATGGTATGCCAATCTTTTCTTGAGCTTCATTGCCATTAAATCTCATAATGTCATTAGGATGTCCTTGACCTTTCGATGATAGGAAAAGAAATTCCTCGGATTCTGCTACTGAACTACAACACCACATGTTTTAAAGTCATTTTTCTTTCACAAGAGACCACTTGTCTATCCCAACACACTATAGAACAGAAAAAGGAGCTTTTTAAAACAAATAATAATAATAATAATCCCTTGCACGCATCAGCCACTTTAATAACCCGAAACGGCAACGGTAGAGTCAAACAGAAACAGCCGGCCGACCAAGAACGGAGAGTCGCATACACGTCTGCCGCCGGCCGCCCGCGCGTCCGTCCGCCCGCCCGCCCCCAAGGAGCCAAGATTGCCAAGTCATTGTCATTTCCCCCAAATTCCTTTCCCCTCCGGCCCTCCACCTGCAAACCAACAAGTCTCTCAACGACCATGGCCGCCTCCGCCTGACCGCGGCCCACTGCCCCAGGCGACGTCGCCTAGATCCATGAGACTTCCCGATCTTCCTGTGGCCCGAGGATGTCCCAGCGCGACGTCGACTACAGGTGATTTTTAGCCCAACTCACTAACTCGATTCCACCGTCAATTGATCCATTTTTCGGTCGTTCTGGTGGGAGGCGAGGAGTCTGGGTCCGGTTCTTGCCTGTGGTTACGGGTGAATCGGGGTGGGGCCATGGATGGATGCTGTTGGGTGATTGAATTATTATTATTCTTTGCTGATAGCTGTCCTGGGATGATACCTTGCTTTTGGAGTGGGAATCTTGGTGTCTTGTTCTAGTTTCTGAACCAAGAACCGGAAATACACAATCCATGACCCTTGTGCTTGGTTTGATTTGTGTACGATTGCCGATTGGCACACCTGTATACTGTATGTATGTATTCTACATGCCTGATCAGAAATTGGGTACCGTCTTGGCCTGATGAAGTAATCCGTAGTCTAATTGAGCTGATTTACCAACCAGGGTACAGGTTGTTTGGGTGACGCACCCACAATATTTGTTACTTAGAATGTCTAACTTGATGGCCATCTATTTGTTGCCGAAAAAAGAGTCATGCTGCTGGAATTTGGGGGACTACACTAATTTCCAGAAGCTGTAGTGAGCTCATCCATGCAACGGTTTCGTGTGATGTCCGGATTTGTCGGGATTCACCTTGCAATATCCTTTCCCGTGGACAGTTTTCTGAAGGCTACACGTGTGCTTGCTGGAATGACCTTGCAAAACCTAGAGTTTGTGTTGTCGTGGTGCTGCTCCTTGAAACTGAACATAAAGCAAGGTACATTTGCACAGTAGGTGTCATCCGTTGTCGGATTACAGTTAACCAATGGAAACTTGAAACGTAGTAAAAGGACGTTACTAGGGTTTTGCGTTGGCGTCAGCTGTTTTGGTTCGATGCTCATCAACAATTGCAGTGATGTAGTTTGTTTACACAACTGATTGGAAATTTATATATATACATAGAAGTCTGGACCCTGGACAACTCCCCCATGTATTTATATACTGCCTCCGTCAAGTGCCATTCTGGTTTTGTCCTAAGTCAAAAAATCTATAAGATTGACTAAGCTTATACGAAAAAAATACCAATATTTATGATACCAGATAAATATCATTAAATTTATCATGAAATATATTTTCATAGTAAATCTATTTGGTGTCATAAATGTTAATAGTCTTCTCTATAAACTTGGTCAAACATAAGATAGTTTGACTTAGGACAACCAAAACGTCACTCTTTGCAGGATGGAGGTAGTAACTTGTTAGGATTCAACCATTAATAATATTTGGAACCATAAATGTCATTATGGTTGCTATTTAATATATAAAGATGATAAAAAGCATTCATTTCTCATTTCCTCATTAACAACAAGGAAAATCTTCAAGTAGAATGGTATTTCCTTAGATAGGTAAAGTGTTTGTTAATTTTTCTCTGTCATGCATTAATGATGCTAGTTTTTTCTCGTTGTTGTTTCCCTCAACTGCCAAATGCAGTTTTTATTTATTTGATACAGTTATCACTAATAGGAAGATGAGTTCAATGTAATACCATTGGCTTCTAAGTATCAGCTCGATTGGTCAAACATCGCTTTAATGCAATATCATCTTCTGGATACCATATATTGTATATATGTCCACTACTCTGTCTGTTCTGCAAGCTCTGACAACATTTACATTTGTATTGACAGTTGTGGATGTTGTGGATACCCTCTAAACCTTTCATCTTCTAACCGAAGCACATCTGAAGTAGGATCCTCATATAAGAAGTCTCTGAAGAAAGGACTGATTTCATTCATTTCTGTTGATCTCAGCCGATTTACTCAGGTGGACGAGGTATCTTGCTTTCCCCTCACCTGGCGTAGTTACAGGCCAAAAACTAAGCTTCTCTGCCGAAAATGTGGAGCATCTATTGGCTACGGATACGGTGAGCCAGCTGTTTTGTGTAGCTTTGATCCAGCAAGTTCATCTTCCTCCAGTACATCCCAGAAGTATTTAATCAAGATCCAAGCACTCCAACCTTCAGACGGGACTCAGTAAGTGAAATATGGAAAGAGAGACAATAGATGTCAGCTTAGAGAACTCCATCAGTTACCTATCTGATGATTGCTTGCTTTCTATATTTAACAAGCTAGAAAGCGAGTCAGAGAGGAGTGCTTTTGGTTTAACTTGCAAGAATTGGTTCAAGGTTCGAAACCTTGGTCGGAAATCACTAACATTCCATTGTTCTTTTAACCCTACAATAGACAAGGAGCATGCCAAGTGCATCCCCAAGATTTTGGCTCACTCACCTTGCCTTAACCTGATATCCCTTGCTGGGCTCACAGAGCTACCTGACTCAGCTTTGAGCACACTGAGAATGTCTGGATCATCTATAAAATCCCTTTCATTCTACTGCTGTTCTGGTATAACAGATGATGGTCTAGCACAGGTGGCAATTGGGTGCCCTAATTTGGTGGTTGTTGAACTTCAAAGCTGCTTTAATATTACAGATGTTGGCTTGGAAAGTCTTTCAAAAGGCTGCCGTGCTTTGAAGAGTGTAAATATTGGTTCTTGCATGGGCATTTCAGATCAAGGGGTTTCTGCAATCTTTAGCAATTGTTCAAACATTTGCACACTAATCATTACAGGTTGCAGGCGTCTGTCTGGTATTGGGTTCAGAGGTTGTTCAAGTTCATTTTGTTACCTTGAAGCTGAGTCTTGCATGCTTTCTCCAAATGGTTTGTTGGACGTAGTTAGTGGCAGTGGACTCAAGTACCTGAACTTGCACAAGTTAGGAAGCTCAACTGGTCTGGATGGCCTGGGCAACCTTGCTTTTGCTAAAAGCCTCTGCATCCTGAATCTCAGGATGTGTCGCTACCTCACAGATGATTCCGTGACAGCAATAGCCAGCGGGTGCCCATTGCTTGAGGAGTGGAACCTTGCTGTCTGCCATGGGGTCCATTTACCTGGCTGGTCTGCAATCGGGTTGTACTGCAATAAGCTAAGAGTGCTGCATGTGAACCGCTGCCGACACATCTGTGACCAGGGTTTGCTGGCCCTCGGCAATGGCTGTCCGCGCCTTGATGTTCTGCATATAAATGGCTGTGCCAAGATCACCAATAATGGCCTGGCTTTATTTACCATTTCCAGGCCCCATGTGAACCTAAGGGTGGATGAAGTTTTGTCCATTGGCCCTTCCATTGAGAATTTGTTCCGGCTGCATTGAGGAGAAATTGTAGTTAGACTTTCTGAGTTTGGGGGCTAAAAGTTTAATAGCCCGTCCCATTACAGGGTGATTGGTTCTTCAGTCATTATGTGGATTCTGTTTGCTCTGGTGCATACTTATTGTAAGATAACAATAGTGAACTGTAAATATACAAGTGAGTTGAACTTATATAAGGTGTACTTTTGTTACTAATTTGCTCTAGCTCTGGTTTACTGGTGCAGCAGATTGCTTCCGAATTTATATTTTTTTCAATCGGATTAGTTCCGAATTCTGTCCGTTGATCTGCTATGTTGTTTTTTTTTTCCTGCTACGACGAAGTACAGTTTTGTGGATAACTGTCTGCAAAACCTAGCGATGATCAAGTTCCTGTAGCAGAACCTGCAAAAGATGACCCTTTGCCTAACCTTCATCTTGACAGCAAAAGTGTCATCCAAATAGGTTCAGTGTTCGTTAAGCTGCTATTTTGTTCAAGGCCATATTTGCCATTCCTTCGTTCACAAAGTTTGGTAGCATTGACAGAATTTGGCAAACATATCTGCTGCCAAGATACCCTTTTGTGCTCAGAACACCATTTTTTTTCGATTGTAATGTTTTAGTTAATTTATTGGTCACCAACTTGATGAGACAATATGGGAACTTCAAATTGTTCTGGCAGGGCAGTTGTATCGAACTAGGCAACGCCTGAACCAACTGGTTCGAAAGCTTTTGGTTATTCAGGCCGTTGCACGCGCGATTAACCAGAAGCAGCCGCACGAGCTGATCCTGCCAAGTGCCAACGACAAGGACTCTCGATCTTGATGATTGCCTCGCACCTCGCAGGCTTATTATTAGCATCTGAAAATGACCTTCATTTTCGTCCTTGCTTATTTCACAACAAATATCCCGTGAATACGTGTCACCACCGGCTACGTCCGCTCAGATTGCGGTGCACGAACTGCTCGTCCGCAGGGCGCATACGTAACAGTGAACCAAAAAATATTTTACCAGCAACAAAAAAGAAGAAGAGCAAATCAATTGAATGCATGCAGGAACTGTACTATTCTGTGGTCGATCCAGCGTTGGCAGCTACTGCCTTCCAAGGCGTAACGCGCCACAGCAATACAGCAATACAGCGTAGGTTCAGACACCATTTTTTTTATAACAAGCTTTATTAAATTGAGAACAACGAAAAAGAGTTTAGCCTTTTCCGTAAGTCCAAATATAAGCTAATACATTAGAGATGTTCCCTGTTCGGTAGTTTTTTTATAGAAACAATCAAAGGGTGCCTCACAACTGATATATCTTAAGGAAAACAAAGGCTAATACAAAAAATGGGCAACAAAACATAAAATGGTCTCTAAAACAATATAAGAGTATATTAAAGATCGAATTGGTCGCCTTCTTCCTTCGATCGTTCACTAACTGCGGGTGCTTAAAGATGACACTGTAAAGACAACAAAGAAAATGGGAGACTTTTACCTACGTGCCATTATAAAAGTCGGTAGTTACCTCCATAAGCCATTAAAAAGTTGAGTTCTCATAGGTGCCACTGCTCTGAACTCTTTTGTCCTCCACGTCACTTTCGTCAGATTTAGCTCTAACAGTGTCAAAATGCAGGTATGAAAAGTCAAAAATACCATTAGGTCTAAATATGCAATTATTTTTTTGAGCATCTTAACGATCTCAAATGAAAAAACTCAAAACTAAAAAGTTGTAGATCATGTCTATATCTACAGGATTTATATAAAAATTATCTTCATTTGATTCCATACAAAAAAATATGATTTTTCTAAGACATTAATCATACCAAATCATATTTTTTTTGTACAAAATTAAATGAAGATAATTTTTTTACAAAAATTACAGATATTATCGAGATCTATTACTTTCTACTTTTGAGTTTTTTTATTTGAGGTCATTAAGATGCTTAAAAAATTAATTGCATATTCTGAGGGTATTTTTGACTTTTCACACCCGCCGTTTGACACCGTTAGAGCTAAATCTGACGGAAGTAGCGTGGAGGGCAAAAGAGTTTAGAGCAGTGGCACCTGTGAGAACATAATTTTTTTAATGGCTCGTGGGTAATTATCAACTTTTATAATGGCACACGAGTAAAAACCTCAGCGATAGCTACAAATACTCTCGCCAAACAAGGCTTTGAAGACCGCAAAACCCACTCGCCACTGATAATGAGATCTAAAACTCACTGAAGAACATCAGCTAGAGACCTGAGGAACCCTCCAAATAACATAGACTTACAATCCTTCACCAGTAGAACAGAGTATTGAAGACCTTGTTGTAGAGCAAACAAAAAACAGGTTGAGATTGTCGCATCGAAAGCCAACCAACTTCATTGGCCATATAAAGAGATTAGGTCCCCGCTCCTCTGTCTACAAGCGAGATCTCCGGTCAGAAGAGAGGAGGGGGGACTAAGGCAATATGGTGGAGGAGGACGGTGGTGGCGGCGGTTGGGAATTTTACCCCTAGCTTGTTCGCCCCTATACGGCAGCTACCAACACAAAAAAGGTGGTCCTCGTTGACATATCACTATATCATCCTGTAACCTCATAATAAGAAACCAGGAAACAAGACAAGATCAGCTCTCTTAGTTTCAAATTATAAGACATTTTGATTTTTTTAAGATATATTGTTTCTACTATATATTTAGACATAGTGTATTCAAATGTATAGTAAAAATTATGTATCTACAAAAATCAAATATCTTATAAGTTGGAACAAATGGAGTAATATTAATCCGATGTGAAGCAAGCTAATTTAAAAGTACGGCAAGCTTTATTATTCAAATTTAAAATATTGTTGGACAATATGCCTTTTTGATAATATAACAACCCGTAGGGGATGGGCCTACTTTTTCAAAGAAAAACATATTGAACAATGAATAGTTCATTCAAGCTTCAATTGCGATTGAGAACAAAGATAAAATTTATTGTCTGTGTGATTAAAATAGTTTCCTTCAACTTCTACAACTTCTTAACTTGTCGTAATAATATGTTTCGCAGTCATAGTGTCTAAAGCACGGAAAACGTTTCATTTCGTACCTTCTTGAATAATCCTCCGTACATGCTAACGCGTAGACTTTTCTCATAACAAAGTTGAGTATGCCCTGAAGCCTGAACTTGTACGTAAAAACAGAATAAAATATTAATATAATAGCTGTGATCATATAAGAAAATGGAGATGACCAGAATTACTTGTGCTATAAGAGAAAAGAAGAAATATCTTACAAGTTACAATTAACAACTTGTCACTAAAAGATATATACACAGCCACCCATTAATTTTGTGGGCCATTATTAGTGATGCAACCATAACATTTTAAATGAATCATATGACTACACATTCCACTACATCTCATGTGTAAGGAAAATGGACCCTAGACCCATTTACTCTGGATTTTGGTGTTTGATGTGTCGGATACCGCAAGAAGGGGTACCCTAAGCAAGAACTAAAAATATTGCTTAAACCTTGCAAAAATCAAAACCGAAAGACTACCGCAAGGTCTCAGCAGATTTCTCCGATTCGCCCGAGGCCTTGCGCCGAAGCCACATGCGAAAGGCAAAAAGCTCCCCGCCCCGCCGAGGCCCTCTCGCCGAGGCCCCGCCCTGAAAGGCCTCGGACGAGATGCCAATTCTTCGATTCGCTCGAGGCTGGGCTCGGCAAACAACCTCGTTACCTCCGTCCCAACCGAACTCCTCTGACAAAACGTCACGTCCGGGTTAATACGCGCAACTACTCCCGCAAACGTCAGCCGCATGCGGGTACAGTACGGGCAGAGCGACCGATGGGACAGGGGACCGGGCGCAGCAGGGGTTACCTGCCACTGTGCTCATCACTGTGCTCCCTACTGACACCCGTACTGCCTTGTGCTACCTAACCCCTGCGCCAAGGACAAAGCGGCGTGGAAGGTCAAGTCCAGGTCCCTGTAGTCTCAGCAACAGCAGGAGAGCCCAGCTGCTCGTTCTCCGCCTCGTCCGAGACCCCCCGACAGGGCCTCGGACGTACTGTTCTTTCTCCGCCTCGGCCGAGGCCGGGCTCGTCCTGCATCCTCGTCGCCTCCGCCTCAACCATCCCACTGGCAGGCTGTCCCATCCATTTAATGCGCCTAAATGCACCCGCTACGTCAGCCATGACCGGTAGGGTACAGCAACAGGAGCGATGGGACAACGGTCAAATCTCCTTTTTTACCATGCCCTGCACTTTTCCACCTAAACCAGGTCACTATAGCCTCGGAATCAGTGCATAGGCCCAACTGCTCCCGCCAGGGCCTCGGCAAATCAGGCCTCGGCGCGGTCAGCTACAAACACCCGCCAGGGCCTCGGCAAATCAGGCCTCGGCGCGGTTAGCTACAACCCGCCGAGCCTCGACACTCAACCAGGGCTAGAGTCCACCAAAGCACGACATGTCTCCGGCCATGGAAGTCATACTGACTAGACGTCGACAAGGACTCCCACGACCTCAACCACTTCAAACCTGACCAGCACGGCGCACCAGACAAGTACTGATCTCCATTCCCAACGCCATGCTGCTACAGGACTAAACTGCAGTAGGCTCCACGTGTAGCTCACTCATGTACTCCTGACTCCTTCCTTGCGGTTATAAAAGGAAGCGGCCAGGGATAGGAGGAAAAAAGGAAGGACATACGATAGAACCGTGCTCCCATACTGGCCCTAAACACATCCTGTAACACCCACGCTCCCGGGCTGCTTGAGAGCAGCGTCTCAAGCACCTCGCACCGTCCCACACGGAGACCTAGGACTAGCTCCCTCTCTCACCCAGCTTGTAACCCCCTACTACGAGCACTTCGATGCAAGGAATACAAGACCGATCTCTTAGACTGGACGTAGGGCACTAATTGCCTGAACCAGTATAAACCTTGTGTCTCTTTGCATCACCATCCGAGATTAGGGGCACGCAGTTCACTTTTACTAGTTGGTTGAGGACCCCCCGGTCCGAAACACCGATAGTTGGCGCACCAGATAGGGGCCTCTGCGTGTTATTGTG